ATTAAGTCAACTTCAATGTTATGTGTTTTTGATAGATGACATTTGTCACTTGTTTTTTATCTACCATTTTTATCTTTCAAATCAAGTAGTCTGTCGGTTTGTTCACTTCATACTCACGCCATTTTCTGTGCACTATGTTTATTTGATCCAAAAAGAAGCATGTTAGGAAAAATGTTTATTTGGGGGTTCAAAAAACCAGAATTCAAAAATGTTTTATAAAAATGTTTTTTAAAAATATTTGGGGCCTGAAACCCTCACGAACTATGTTGTCAATTTTATAGTTTCTTTTCTCCTCCTACCTAGCAAGGTATGTCACCCATTTTCCAATGGTGATGGAACTTCTTTTATTTATAAGTGTTGTATTTTAGCCTGATGGTGACTCCTAGGAGTCGAAACATGTAGCATATATAATTTGATTATAATTAACTTGGAGCGAGACTTCGAGTTTGTTCTCTTAATTATCGCGATTATATGTTATATCACTATTATTGAAGAAATGGATATGATCCCGTGTATGTGTCAATTCACACCTTCATAGTGATAAATTGCATGGATGTGGTAATTTAGAGGAGTCCTGAAATTTATATACAAAAGTAATACCGAATGGATGAGAAGTAATACTTTCGATAGTAGTTTTATCCGAGTTAACCTACCACCTAACACCATGACCATTTACGGATGAGGCTTAGTTCTGGTTCCCACGAAAAGAGATATCCTGTAATGTTCAGAGAACATCGTGAGAGCCAAGGGAAATGAGGTAGGAATTGGTGTTCTCCTTGAATTTCTCGAGGTTATTTGCCTCGAAAAACACCTTCCTTGGCAATGTGTTCCAGAGCCTCGCTGTTCGTTGGATGAACGAGTCTTTGGAAAGAGATCTTCTGCAGGTCTCCAAAGTAACCACGAAGGGGTGCGAAGCCTCAACTCGACGGGTTAATCTCGCAGGGACTGCCAAGGGAGGAACAATTGTTGATATTTCAGAAGAGCATCGTCAAGAAAATATCTATAAAATAGAGCCAGATCGCGCCATCTTTTCTACGGTGTTCCAGAGAAGTGAGTGAGTTTGTGAGCGAGGCATCATCCACTAGACGAATTGCCCTTCTTTGGACAAAATCCAACAGTTTCAGGGTATGTAAGCAGAATTCTAGGACAGGTCGGATCTGTGTCTAATAGATCATAAGCAGCTGACTGGAAGTGCAATAACTCCTGGCCCGAAACAGAAAACCAAGTTTTCGGGATGCACTTTCAGCGATTGATCTCACGTGATTTACCCAAGAAAGGTTATTGCTATAGTAATACCAAGCATCGAGATGGATGTCTTCAAAGATATGGTTACTCCTGACAAGCTTATGTTGAGCACAGTGAGATCGGCTTTTGTAGAGGAAAGGCAAGCTTGTGTTTTGTTTGCATTGAAATCTAGCAAGTTATTGAATCTCCATTCTAGAATTGTTGCCAAGTCTATATTCATGTTGTCAACATTTCTCCCTCGTTCGTTTCTCATTAGCCTGGCTGGTATTGTAGCCCTGGAACAGAAGGTGGTATGAAGGGTAGTATCATCCGCGAAGCTGTGTACTGGACATGAAGTTGCTTCCAACAAATCATTGATATGGAGTAGAAATAGTGTCTGTGCTAGAATTGATAGCATTTATGATAAGAGAGACAGATGAAACTCCGTCGACCACTACATGGAGAGACCTGTTCGAGAAAAAACTAGCTAGCAGAGAACATAGCTAGGGAGCCAAGCCATAAGATGGAAGCTTGGCGAGGAGTCCGTGGTGCCAGATTCGATCGAATGCCTTAGATTTATCAGGTGCCACGGCTTAGGTTCCACCATATTTTTCAATAGATGGCTGCCATATATGTGAGACGTAAGCGAGCAGGTCACCAGTTGATCTCTGATGACGCAAGCCATATTGCCTATCGTTGATAATACCTTAATGTTCCAGGTATTTCATGAGCTCGATGTTGATAGCTTTCTCCCTGATCTTTTGAATGATAGATAGCAGTGCGATCGGTCTGTAGTTGCTAGGTAGGTAGGTAGTATTGAACTCTGGTGTTGAATAACACAAACAAATCAAATTAGCACTAGGTACCCTAGTGTATTACTTGACTGTAGGTAAAGAAAAATGCCACTCTTTGATGGTGCAAACAATATCAATGATGATTCTCACTAAAACAATCAAGATCTCAGGGGACACATGATGGTGTGAGTTAGTGTGAGGTGGTGTTATTCTTTATTCACAGTGTGATATTATCTATCAACTATCATGATTAAGTGAACAGGATAGAAGTGATTTTCGTTGTATTAGTTCGAAAATTAGTTCTTTTGCTCGTTATTTACCATTGTATTTCAATCATCCGAACATTTTCTGCAAATGACTTCCCCCTCTGTTTCACAATTTGTTTCTTCTTTCCTGAATTCAACTCCATGTTCCATCTATCAAATACAGTTCTCAACACACTGAATGGACCACTCATAATTTGACTCTACTTCGAAGACCTGTATTTTTTTAAAATACTCACCGATCTTCATAAGGTTTTCGATATCAGATGTGATATTTCATCGGCTTCAAATAGAGCTAGAACACTCTGAAGAAGTCCACAGAACAAAACTTACACAGGGTGTAAAGTGGAACCATTACACTACATTCCCAATAATGCTGCCAGAACTCAAAAGTCAGACATATTATTATGATACACTGAAACCTCATCTCGGGACGTTTTCGTGATTTCTCCTTAATTGGCCATTGGAACAGACAGTCGATTTTTTTTTTTCGAGAGTCTTGCAATTCTTGAATTTTTTCTCTAGAACTCCACTTGAGCTGACTGGAGGAGAACTGTTCTCATGTTTCGTGAAGAACAATGGAAGACGAAAAAAGCACTATTGTGGAATATACAGGATGATAAGAAAATAGGACAAAATCTCATTTCAGTAAGAAAAATCAAAAATGGTGTTCTCGAGTTCTGGCATCATTGGGAATGTTGACCATAGCGTAATGGTTCCACTTTACACCCTGTATAAGTTTTGTTCTGTGGACTTTTTCAGAGTGTTCTAGCTCTTTTTGAAGCAGATGGAACATTACATCTGATATAGAAAATCGCATGAAGATCGGTCAATTTTTTCACAAAATACAGGTCTTCGAAATAGAGTCAAATTATGAGTGGTCCATTTAGTGTGTTGAGAACTGTATATGATATCGTACGATACATGATGATGATCCCATCACGGTATCGCCATCTGAAGGCCTATCTATTCTGGATCTCCTAGTTATGAGATCTAATCATTTCATCAAATAAATAAACAAATACTGCAGACGCAAATCATCACTTTCCGTATCTATTGAAATTGAGTAGATATAAAACATCATTTGGAATCGACTCATTTGATAAACCTCTTCAATATAAGGTTGAACAAACAGACAAAAAGGATAATCAAACACAATATCGAAATTATTCAAACCTGATTGAATCTGTTCATACAAACATCTGATGTGCATCAGATGGGGAAAATTCTCATCCTACCTCAAATATAAACATGCAGAGAGCAATGTTGGATTAATACTCATCAATCACTCTATACGAATATGTGGATATACAAACATCAGTAATCAGATACAGAGTAAAGAAAACTCACATATATCAATTTCATCTATACTAGAGTTTCAGATGATTTTAATATCCGTATAACGAGATGAACGAATCTCCAGGTAGATGGATATGCATATCATGTGAAAGGATATTTTACAATTAGTTATGTGCTAAACCCATCAAACCAGGTGAACGTACTGAATGTCTTTGTCGTTTGTCCATCGCTCAAACTGTCATAATTTTAGTTCCATATATCGTTCGTCGTACACATTCATTTTCATTAACGGTCTCTCCAATGGAAAATTCTATCAGAACCAGTTTTTTCTGACTCCTCAATAGGTTTAAAGATGTCCACGAGTGGCCCGAATCTGAAATCCAGCTGACGAATTTCATTGATTCAATATGATTGATTTTTCTGTGAAAACTGGTACTTTTTGAACTCCATATTGTATGGTATGTTTTTAATTTTGACATTTCCCTCATGTACTTCCATATTTATAATTCATTGGTACTCTTGTCTGATGATGGCCGTAGTGCCGAAACCAGTTATATGGGATGAATTGTATTTTATATAGGAGTGTGGTCGACCAACATTTTTCCATTTGGTGTTCTTATTGTGACCTAATATACGTTAATTCATAAAAATCCTCCATATTGATATGATTTTTCAAGTAATAAAACATGAAACATCCAAAGTCCGTTCTCTTGGAAAATACAGTGTGACCCACTTTGAATGGAAAAACCCCAATGCACTCTATGACCAAGTGGGGTCATCTTCAGTAATATACACTGCTCGCTAACAGCCATGGAACCACCTGAATTTCCAGAAAATGATATTTGGAGTCCAAATAGGTCGAGAATCACTTCGGAATTCGGAATCAGGACGCCCAATTAACTTACTATTCATATTTTCCCTAGACAATTTTCACTTTTCACGAAAGCACAACCGTATCTCATGTAATTGACTTTAACTTTGGACTTTCCCTTCCTCCTGCAAATTTCAGAACCTTACCTCAATAATTAAGTGAGATACGGGAGTGCTTCCATGAGGAGAGAGATAAAATTCAATTCTTTCAAGCTAAAAATTTACTAGGAAGACTTTCAATAGTCAGTGGATTGGGCGTCCTGATTCTGAATCTGAAGTGATTTTCAACCTATTTTGACTCCCAATATCATTTTCCGGAAATTGGGGTGGTTCCATGGCTATTGGCGAGCAGTGTATATCACTGAAGATGATCTCACTCGGTCATAGAGTGCATGTTTGGTATATCTCTCGCTCCAGCTAATTTCAGGATCCTCACCCAACGATTACGTAAGATACAGGGGTGATTCATTAGAAGTGGGTCACACTGTATATCGATTACCTAGCTATATCTCCGATCTATCCACGAGCCCAAATATTTTTCACATCTCACCTGCAACTTCTCCGCATAATACACCAAACTGGCGAAGACCACTATCCCCAGCACCAAGAAGAACACCAACAGTCCCAATTCTTTGGCGGACGCCTTGAAAGTGTGTATGAGAATCTTCAGTCCTGGCGAGTGTCTCGTCAGCTTGAACAGCCTGAAGATCCTGATGATGCTGAAGAAATCCAGCAGCTGGGATTTCTTTTCCGACATGAGGATGAGGTCGATGTAGAAACTGAGGGTGGCTGCGAAGTCGATTATATTGACAGGAGATTTCACGAATTCGATCAGACTAGGAGACACCTGGAAAAGGAAATTTGATTGATTTTTTCGGTGAATTGTAAATAGGTGGGTATAGTATATTGTCAACTAACTAGCACGGAACGATAGTGATTTTCCACGAGAATGAAGTTTGCAATCATTCGAGTGGGTAATCAGCATTCCGTGCGAGTTATACACTATAATTTTTCTACAGCTGTAACAGATAAGAGCTACATTTTTGATTTCTTCGTCGTGTAGCCATTTGATATCTTCTCAAGTAATGCTCATCTATTATACAGAGCTGTAATCGCTTGGAGTTCGACATTCCATGAACGTTGAGATTTTTCTGAAATAATAACACGATAGAGTCATTGTGATATCAGATACGGAAATAAAATTGATGACCTACACAGTACCTCATCGATGTATCAAACACAGTAAAACAAGAGCAATTACGTGTTATAGCCGTAGAAAAGACTATTTATTCTATTTTTTCGGTCGATTTTAAGGCTCTTATGTCATCAATAATACTACGGTAATTTTCAAACGGCTAGAAATGTACCGCGAATGAATACTGACGTCACGATTTCGTAAGTTGAGAAAGACTATATCACAGTCACCATATGTTGAAATAAAAGTGGGAGTTCAAGGAATATTATTCATTCAAGAATTTATGAATTTGTATAGGTAATATTCTTGATTAGCTATGAAAATTCAATTGTCTTGTATTAATATTTACATTTATTCACCCTAGAGGAGATTTGGTCAGTTGAACGTGACAAAACAGGATCGTGGGCGTTATCTTGTCAGTTCTCTGCTTTTAGCACAGCATTGCCAAAGTCTCTATAGCCATTCACATGATGTTTTGTTATTGAGTAAAAGGAATATTTTGATGAGCTGGTAAAGCTGGTTGCTCAAAAAATCACAAATTGATAACGATATAATAGTAGATTGTTTTATTCACTCGGCTTCGCTAAACGCTCCGCCTCGCAAATGCAAAATTCGTTTGTCAAACAAAGTGTCACTTTTGATCCGAATGAAACATGCTATTTTTTCTGCAACAGAAACAATTAACTCAAATAAATATGTGAAGTTACCACCAATGCCGTGCCATATGTATGCAATGCAACGAATATTGACAAATAATCCATGTGGTGAGAATATTCTACCTGCATTAACAGCAGGTCAGGTTTTCTAGGATGTTCAAATTGTAGTTTCAATATAAATATACAACCACAGAGTGACATATCAACAATGATGTTAGTGATTATTTATTTCTCTCCATAGTACACTGAGTTTGACTTGATAATCAAATGAAGCTAAATAATATCGTTGTTTGAGACAAAAAAACTATTGCTTGCCGTGATTATTTAAAAACAAGGTATCCATCCCGAGAATAACGAATGAAATACAGATCAAGCAAAAGTATTTGAATCTTGAAGGCTTCCCTGATCGAAACAAAAATACTTAACTGAGATGTTTATCATTTCAATACTGAACTATAATAAGGTATATTTATATCTCCAGCATGGGTATGAAATGCCAAATCTGCTGAAATCGGAAACAAATCAGGTATGCGTCTCAACCCAAATACCCAACAGTCACAATGTTGTTTATTCTTGATGATATCCAGTACATTCTTTTTAGTTCCTAGGAGCTGAAGTTCAACTTTAGCTCCTAGGAACTAAAATTCAACTTTAGCTTCTAGGAACTGAATATGTTGCCTAGCAACATACCTATTTTTGTGTCAGTAATAGAAACGTCAATTTAAGAGCTAATTTTGGTATCAAAATGGACGACTTTTGTGTCGGTTGCAGAAAAAAGTCATTTTTATGCGTTTCTCCTGTTAGGAAAATTGAAATATTCAATTTGGATATTGTAGTATTCTCGGTTTTATTCAACGACAAGGCCCTAACAGCTTTTTGATAACTTGATTATTAGTGGGCACTTGACAACTCTGCTTCATAATCGGGAATTGAAAATTATCTGACCAATAATGAGACAGCATAATGCACTGAAGTCGCTGTATATCTAACGTATCGAAGAACATGATCAAATGGTGGCCATAACGGAACATTTTAATTGAGCTCTGAAACCCAACAACTTCGAACAACTCATAGAGACATAATCTTCAACAACAACGCGTAAGAAGTTTTGCAGAAATCACTTCAGGCTCCGAACGATACAGTGAACTAATTGAATGCCATCTATTCACTACCAGTCCACTAGCCCATTATAGGTTCAGTAAGGCTCGTAGTGGAAAAGGACTGAATGCACTTACAATGGTTACCATAATGATAATAATTACTGGCGAGCTCATGGGATGTAGAAGTTTCAAGACTTTCGATATTGATTAGCCAGTCTTTCTTTGGACTACGGTGTAGGTATATATTGGCGGTTCAGGTTGGCAAAAAGTCATGGAAAAATAAAATATCCCAGGCACTATGGTGTTGAATTATAGAAAATATCCACTGAGAAATTTCAAGGTTTATGTTAATTCTAAGGTGACAGTTATTATTTTCAAAATCTCAATCAAGTCAAATATCAACCTAACACAAACCATTATTATAGTTTTCCACAGTTTTCCAAGCTGAGGTGTTCGCCATCCTAGCCGTAACAGGGAGGCATGAGGTGAAAGAGGGGCAAGAGCTAAAGATCTACATCTGTTCGGATAGTTAGGCAGCACTCAAGGCTTTCTGTCATCAGTACAGGAATGAGGAAATGCCCTCGAGATATTAGCCGAATCAAAAGGAAGTTGAACTGGTATGGATCCCAGGTCACAGTGGGGTGTCCGGAAACGAAACAGCAGACGAACTTGCTAAGGCCGTATCCGCGGAGCCGTTTCTGAGACCAGATCCTGTACTTGGTATAGCAAGGAGCCAAACTACGTCAGCCCTTGATAAATGGGCAGACAATGCACTAGGAGAGAATATTGGAGGAATATCACAGGTTGCAGGCAGGCCAAGGAACTCGTGGCCGGTCCGAGCAAATCAAGGAAGGACTTTTTGCTTGGCAGAGACTGCCAAGTACTCCGCCTTCTCCTGGAAGAACTCACAGGATACAACAGGCTATGCATACAAATAACACTTAGGGTAATAAAGGACAACCCGACTTGCCGCAAATGTGGAAGGTCACTCCATTTTCTCGGCGAGTGCGAGGCGTACGGGAGGCTGAGATTTGGAATCTTTGGAGTCGACAAACTCCAACAGAAGAAGTTGATCATATTAGAGTGCACGGACATACTGACCTTCATCAGGAGGTCAGGAAGATTCGTAAAGGGAATCTAGGTGGAGGAAAGCGGAGATATTTGGAGAGCAAGAGTTAGCAAAAAGAGCCTATCGGGGCCTACCTGCTTGGCTACAGCCTCCCCACCTACTACTTCTTCTACTACTACTACTACCATTTTATGTGTTCATAGAATGTGATTCAATGTTTGTCGTGGCATAAACCTAGAAGAGAAGTTGTTTTCTTTTGAATAAACCGATAAAAAATTCGGAAAATGTCAATAGGAAGAATAGGAAATATATCAGGTTTCTCTATATTCCTCATATACAGAAAATTTAGGAGGAGGAGGGTGACTCCTTGTCATATTTTATGCAAAAAAATCAAAATAAACATTTGTTCAACTTTCTTCGTTCTCGCGATACAGGGTATGAATTTTTAATAAAAATCCTTCTTTTCACCACGCTTACATTATGTACATTCGTGTTTTCGTATGTTTGTATGTAACGGAATCTTCCAGGCATTGACCCACTTCAAATCGTCAAATTTGACAGATACTTCGCATACTTATCAAAAATCGATGACAATAGCATAACTGCTATGAGTAGAGTTACATCACCAAAATTTTCAATGCACGTTGCACTTTTAACAATGCTTTTCTCGGTCAGACAGTGTATTTCACCAAGTGTTCGTATGAATAGTTACATCCAGAGTGACGGTGATTCTGACCCACTTCAAAACATTCAATTGATTTATCTTCAGGATAAGAGCTCATGCGTGGAAAAGTAATCTTGGGTGAGCTGATTAAGCATTGCCCTTGAAGCAAATTTCCTTCAGTGGGACCAGTGCGACTTGCTTGGGGAACAGGTTTGAGACGAATCTACTGCGAATCAATCACCCATATATGTCCATGGCAACAATATCTTTCTTACTAGCTGAGATTATTTACATTTTGGGTGGCGTATAGTCCATCTGCTACATCATTTTGCTTTCCAGGAACATGGACCAGGGCCAGGGCCCACCTGGTGATGCGGGAAGGGAGAATGCGTGCTGTTTGTAAGTGGACAATGGCCTTGTTATTTGTATAAACAACAAAATCTCTTTCTAACAAACAGGTGCGCCACTTGTTCAAAGAATCAAGGACCTCTCCATCATTAGAGGTATACGGTTTTTTCATATCTGAAAGCAGACAACTACTCTATGCAACTACCTGGTACATTCCATCTACCACCTGGAACAATTGAGCACCAAGTCCTACATCGCTGAAAACTGTATTTTCACAGAAAAAAATCACATCTGTTGATCTTGACGGTGAACCCACTCTGCTGCAATAGCTAAAGTTGATGCACCTAGTGAATAATGCAACCGTGTTCACGCCAAAAGGAAGCCTTCAAGACTCATAAATGGGTCTACCCACCATAAACCCAATGTACTTACTGTCATATATTTCGATGGGCATCTGCCAATAAGAATTTGTAAGATCTAATTTTGAGTACACACCAGCCAGGGATTTAGTGATTTCATTCATCTAATCAATTGGTTCAGAGAGTTGGATAGTCAGGTTCCATGACTGAATTCAACCGCCTAGCATCAAGACAGATCGTCACACTACCATCACGTTCAACAGTGGTCATAATTGGGAAGACATATTGCGTTGTGGCTCTCTCAATAATTTTCGATTGGAATGGGGTGATGTTTTACAAATTCAGTCTTATTGAATGTTCATAACCTATGTTGCAACCAGGCGCATCTGAAAATGTACGATTATATCGCTCCAGTCATTTTTGGAACCTCATTCCACAGCACTCTGGGATAGATCG